TTTGGTCTTTCCTCCGCAGTTTTGCTTTGGGAAACAGGAGACTTGAAATGTGCTACTGACTGTTTCAGGCCAAGTTATTAGATTTAAACCAAGTTCAATCAATTAATATGAATGGCCCTATTTAGTTAAAGCAAGCAAAACAAGACAATTAAAGCTTTGCTAAAACTTAAATCAGTATCCAGACTAAGTTTGGGTATTTACTGATTTGTAAATGATACAAAGAAATATGCTCATAGGTCAAAATTGACATATATATATACATATGTAGTACTGTATAATTTCTGATGGTTTTCCACGTTTATGTACAGCAGATGCCACACGGTACATTTGACAGTTGTGCAATTGTGTGGTGGAAACTAGCTTGCAAACACAGGTTGAGCATACAAATCCATTTATTTCTCATCAAAAATCAATTTCTCTGAGCAAGCTGCATTTAAACTAATTCAAGTCAAGACTGGGCTTCTTCATCACAACTTAGATTTTCTTCTTTTATGCATCAATTCTTAAAATTACACCCAGTGGAAATGTAATCCATCCATCCCTCAATAAGAAGGTTGCTAGACCTTTTAATCTAGTATTTCAAAGCTGCTGTGAATCGCATAGCATTAGACAAGTCAGCTATTACAAGAGTAGTGCATGCCTAGCATATTTTTTTCCTGTAGCTTTCTCTTGAGCTCTCTATTCCCTTGCCAGAGACAAATTAACCCAGTTAAGAAGCCAAAGAGTTATGCTGTCTTCATCCATGGCTCCGTACCTTTTTCTCTTAACTGCATCCAGCTTCCTACCTTTCACAGGGTGAGAAGCATGGAGGAGGGAAAGACAAAACTCAGTGCTCTGAAGGGTAGCAATTCTTTGCCTGTTTTCAAGATGCAAGTGAAGCAAAAGTTTAAAGGATTTGATTTCCAGAGGACAAGAGGGATAGGAAGATCAATTGAATTAGGATATGGTTGTCAAAGAAATAAGAGAAAGCACCCAGAATTAGTATTTTAAACAGTGAATGTTCAATATATATCTCTATGCAAATACATCTGCTTAAATACACATAAGGAGCATGCAGTTTTTCTTAAGAATAAGCCTAAGAGTGCTAAGTGTTGTATGCGAGAAATAAACAAGGATGGGCTTCTGCATTTGTAGGTGCTATGCAGAATGAGGGCTGCTAGCGTTTGTGTGTCACTGCCCTCTGCTGCAACCAAGCTATAGTTCAGTTCACACGGCTTCATCTCCATCGCAAGCCACGCTCGGTTTGTACTGTGCTCTCCCAGCTCAGGTGTGGTTTGTGTGGGGTGTTTTGTGTGCGTCTCGTTCCACAGCAGTGATCCTCCCTAGCTGTGTGGCATGACCCAGCCCAAATACTGCGGTATGTGTGACTCCACAGCTACTCTGAGCCTTGAGGGGAAGGATAGATTTCAGAGCTGGCTGTTGATGCCACTTCCATGTGTCTCATTCGTAGTTCTCTGTTCTCATCTGCACCACTCATCTCTGCATGAGTGTGCTTGTACATCACATGAAGCTTAGGCATCCCTTAATAATGTGTGGACACATTATGTGATAAATCCTAAATGATTAAATGAAATTAAGCATCACTTTTTAAATTACCAAAATTAGACGTTTTACTTAATCATGCACTATCATATGACAGAACTCATACCTGAAGTAGAAAACGCTAGAGGAAAAGCACATCACAGTAGTGGGCACACTAAAATTCGGCTTAGGCCACTGAGAATGCTTATGAAACACGTCCTGAGGCTTTAGTATTCAGTCAACAAAAGGGCCTCTCAAGTGCTATCTAAAAGCCTTCAATATTATGAGGCATTTAACTTCCTTACATTAGAATTGTGAAGGTCTATCCTGATCCTCCTTGTCCTTGCTGGATTTGAACTTGTGCATCTGTCAAGGGAAGATCAGAATCTTAAATAATTGGAAGCTTAAATAATCATCGTGATAGTATGGATATTCCTATGTGCAATAAAAATAAAATCTCCAAAATCATCAAATGGTCCAGCTTTATCTTTCTGCAGTGACTTGTCTGCGCTTCCTAGTCACCAGAGATGTTTTCAAAAGGGAAGATGAAACAGAGAAGACCTTTCATCCACCTGGGCAGAAGTTAGAACAACACAAAATTATAATTTCTCTTGCTGAAGAATATGAGCATAAAAATTACTGGGCTGGAAGGCATCAAATGAAAGCTGTGAGCCTTGAACAAAACATGTCTATTAAAAATGGTTTAATTTTTTTTTTTTTTCAAGAATTGCTTTTAGGCCTTTTCAGTCTTTCAGTAGAGACTAAAAGCTGGAATAGAGACAGATTTGATGATAAATTACCTGCTGAACTCCAGTGTTTAGATGAATTGCTAATTCAGCCACAATAACAAAAACCATTACATATTAAGAGCATTCTTGTTGCTGACTGCAGTTTTATTCTGAAGCGCAGTATTTAGCTGATGGAATATTGTGGCTAATGAATAAAGCATTAAAAAGTAAAGTCAACAATATTTCAATGCCTGTAGAAATTCATAGGAATGAATGATTAATGCTTTTCTTCATTCATCTTGCTATCTTTAAAAGCGCCACATTATTACCAAAGTTTGTTTCCAGATCTGAATGACACAGCAAAAGAGCAGAGATTAATTATAAGTACTGCGTGGCTTTGATTTTTGTGTGTGCATGTTGAGCAGACTGCACTCGAGCTGCAATACTTCACCTCTCCTGTCTCCACTTCATAGCAACCTGGGAGTTGGGTGGTGAAGGCTCTACCAACAGAGTTTTGTTTTTTCACACCTCTTGCTTTGTTTCTGCCCTGCCTCCAGCATTCCTGTGGGCTGCTAAGCATCAAATACACAGCAGAGCAACTTTGCTCCCGCTGTGCCTGAGAAGCCACATACCCACTGAGGCGGGTGTGCAGTTCTGAGCCTTAGACAAACTGGTTTTACCTTGAGGTGCTGCAAAAGCAGCAATATAAAAGTGCCCAATGGTAATCAATAGCAATGTGAAAGAACAAATCTTTGAGTGTAATTTGACAACCCTTTCTTTGGATTTGCTGCTTTAATTCGATGATATTCCAGCCATTAGAAAAATAGATCCCTCTCATTATTTGGTGAACACATCTGCCTCGTTATTCCGTGCATATATTCTGTTCATTCTTATCTATCGTTCTTTGGCTGCTTTAGTCAACGTAATTTATTTTTATGGTATTACTTATTGAGCAGATTCTTACTTGCATTTTAATTAAAGGGCTTATATTGCAAAACACAACATTTTATCCTGGAGTTTAAATTTCCTGGCTTTAATCTATGTGTTCCTCTAATGAAATGCAGAAGTTAATCTTAGTAACTGTAAATCCAGTCTCATTAATCGTTTTCTATTCTTTTACACATACCTTGGGTCTGATAGGTGAATGGTGGGTTCTATGTGTGACATTCCAGATACAAAACTGAAGTTACCATTAATGTAACTCTTGGGGGCGGGGTGAAAAGGAAGGCTTGGTTTTGTTTTTTCACTTTAAATAGTAGAAAGAATTACAGGGTGCCACAGTTTTTTTTTTACAAGCCATAAATAGTGTACCAGTCAGAAATCACTGTTGCTAAAAGCCACACTGGGGACAGTTAGTGTACGTCTCTAGGAGATGCTGTAGCTGAAAGGGGTTGACATAGTGCTAGGGGAGACATGCTGTGTTACCTGAACAGTTGATGAATAACTTGGCTTATTCTGTCTGTTGCAGTAGGAATACTCAGCTCTTTGGTCTGTTATGCATTTGCACTACATAGCGCCTGAGAGTGCCGTAGATACGGCTTCCATCAGAAATGGCAAACAGGAAAATGAAAAAGCTCTCAGGCTTTCCTTACATATCCATCATTATAAATAATACACATTTGCATGTTTTCTTTAACTTTTTTTTCTGTGGGGATAAATCTCTCAAAATTGCATGCTGGTTTCCCATGGATTTGTTTTGAGTATGGTGTGAATTGATGAGCTTGGATATTTTTGATGTATGATTCACTACCACATGCAGGGAAGAAAATTATATTTTGGTCCTGCAGAGAAATAAAACTAAGCAATTAGGTCTTCATTCAGTTAATTCTATTTGATGGCTGCATGCTTTGCAAGAAGAGAGTCTCAGGATTCTGCTCCATTACAAGGTCACTTGCACAATAAGAATTTTCTCAATGCAGATACTTCCACAGTATGGTCAGGATTGCAGATTAACTCTTACCCAGAAATGAGTTATAAAACATTCAAGAAACTTGGAGAAGTTGATTAATGTAAAAAGCTAATTATATTCACATTAAAAAAAAAAAAAAGAGAGCATAACATAGACCGACAAGAACAGTAATGTATGTCTGTAGCAGTGGAAGGTTTTACATCTAACTATTGTGGGGTTTTGTGTTTTATTGCATAGAAAGTCTTATCCTGTGATTTTTGTACCTATTTTTATTGTAGATAGGACTAGGATTGCATCTTTTTTTTTTTTTTTTTTTTTTTTTTTTTTTTTCCTCATGGTCTTTAGGTTTGGTTTTTCTGGAAACTTGGTTGTTTAGTGATTGATGCCAAAATCATGGTCAAATTCACTTGAGTGAACAATTTCTGATTTTTTTTCTTTTTTGATTATTTTACCTTTGCTCTACGTATTGATTAAATTTCATTCCTATTTCCTGAATTTTTGACTGAAAACCACAAATTTTCGCAAATGAGATATTTGCCAAATGTGCAGTGTTATTTTGTTGAATGGTGTCTAATTTTTTCTCCTACCAGAGACACAATAACAGGTGAGCTTTCTATGGGAACAGTAGTAGTCATAGAAGAGAAATAAAGGTTACTGTATTCTGATAAAATTTCAATCACAAGGCTATTCAGGGCTGTGGTTGCTGAAACTAATGAATTGGACGGTGGTGTGTTCATCAGAGTTTATTTCTTTTGTCAAGTAGTAAACATAGAGTCAGAAGACTAGATATTTTAAAACAGAATTCATAGTTTTGCATTGTAGCATCATTTATTCATCATTTACGTCATTGCTACATGGATATTGCATTACAGATTCGGTTTTTCAAGTAGAATTTTAGAGCTCCCTTTGGAGCCTCGGGTCCTTGACACAGTGAGTGGCTTTCTTAGAGAGCTGTAAGATGTACTTGGAGATGACACATGCCTAGAAGTTGAAAAGACACGACTTGAAACTGTTAGAAAAACCCAACCAAAAACCCAGCAAAAAGCCTTTCAAAATGAGCTTGTCAGTGCCCCTTTGTTTACTGCTTTCAGAAACTTGCTTTGTCACAGTTTTGGTGTGCCTGGGCACCATGTTGTGCCCAGTGGGAGCTGACAGCGATCAGCTTAGACACTGCAGCTGTGTGTCCCCCGGCAGTAAATAACACAGGTGTAAAGGCTCATAAATCTTGTTGTGAGTCCTTGAACTGTAAGGGGAGTGCATGTTCCTGGGAGAGAGGGCTGACTGTGGGTGGGCAGAGGAGGATGGAGACCGTTGCCCAACATGCTGACCTGTGCAGCAGGAGGTTGTGGTGGTCCTTTGGTGCAGTCTGCTTACATACAACTTTCCCACCTCAAATCCTCTCTACAACTGTACATCTTACAGGAAGGTATCCAATTTTAAAAATACCTGGCATAAAAAAAATCTACTGTAACTTTTAAAAAAAAGTTACTTGTCACCCTTAAAGTAGTAATATGCCCCAAAGTTATTCCTTGTTTCTGGTCTGACTTTGTCAGAATCACCTTCTGGTATTGAAGCTGGTGTTATGGCTGATAATGAAGACATCTGTTCTCCCCCAAAAGCTACTTAGTCACTGCAGTGAAATAGTTGCTTCATTTTGTGAAGGTTTTCATAAATTGTGTCCCTGAAAGCGTATCTGACTACACAGTGCTTTTCCCAGGCCTTTAATTCCTCTTGTGCTTCTCCCCTGGACCCTTTCCCAAGTTTTAACAACCATTTTGAACAGTGAGCACCGGAACCATCTGAAGTTTTCCATTAACAGCTGTGCTAGTGCCAAGGACAGAGGTAAGGTAACCTCCCTGATCCTGCCCCACAACCACCTTCCCCCTCAGAGGTGGAGCACCACACCCGACAGCTCATGTTACCCATTTGCCTACTGGGTGCAAATCCCCAACGCCCATCAAAGAAGGGGTCTGGTAGTCACTCTGTTACCTTTTTTCTTATCCATGATACATAAGCAAATTAATGAGTTTCTGCTTTTTTCGTAGTATGTTTGCATATCTCAGCACTGTCTCCGTCAATGATGTTGTTCCCTATTCAGCTTTTTGCTCCTGTTGTCAGCAAGGGTCCTTGAGCATCAAGTTAAGAAACGTACTTAGTCTACACACCTAATTTCATCTCTTGACTACAATAAGAGAGCACACTGACACGTTACAAGCTTTCTTTGAAGACTGTTCTTCCCCACTAACTTGTATGGGCTGTCCCATGGGGCCACTCTCGTTCAGATAACAATATCTCTGTAGATTCCCCTGATTTTTGTACAGGACAGCTGAGCAGACATCCGTGAGTGTATTCCTCTGTATTTGGATACTTTTATTTAAAAACACAAAGGAATATATTTCTCTGCCCTGGTGGAGAATAGCATAGGGAAAAATTAAAATAAATGTAGACAGAGCTTTCTTCTTGCAGAGTGCTGCATTTAAAAAAAAAAAAATTTGCCTGATTATAGTTAGCTTTCATAGAGCCATTCTTAATTAATGTGTTATGTTACCTTATATTGCTAATCCTTTTGGTGGCTTGGGACTCGGCTGCAGACGCTTGTTCTGTGTGTGAACATAAACAAACCATGGTGTTCAGGTTTTGCAGATTTGTCCACATTCCCCGGTTTTCTTTCCTCAGGTACTCTCTGGGAATGCAGGGGCTCATTAGGCTGAGGTACTCGAGGCAGAAGGGTTACCCAGCTCCTCAGTCCCCATGGCCGGGTGCTGGCTCAGAGGGGGTCAGCTGGGGACAGACACAAAGCCTTGAGCTCCCACCTCTCTCTGGGAGCTGGGAGAAGCTCTCTGGTGGCAGCCTCGGACACCCCCCTCAAAGCTCATAGATGAGGCTCTTTGCATCATTATTCTGTAATGCTGCTTTCCCCTCCCCTTTCCTGGCAAATTTGTAAGGGTTGTGACATTAAAGCTAGTGAAGAGTGGGGAGACAGAACAGTCTAATGCAATCAGGGCAATAAAGCTCAAGAACATACCTCTCCACTGTATTCAGTCAGCCTGTTTCTTGAGCCCCGTGCACGTTAGATTTGAGCATATCTTCTAATTAGGTATCTGGGTCATGTTTGACATACTCATGGTTCAGCATTGACGTTTCTGTGCTCCTACTTAGCTCTAAATTTGCCAGCTGTTTTCCTTAAATAATTCCACCTTCCATTAAGGATTGTGCATTTTACGTAATTACGCCCATGGTAGCGTGAGGGCAGGCATAGGGACACAGAGGTAGAAACAGCTCACTGTTTTCCATCAACCTTAGCATTTTTTAATTGAATCATTAAAATTTGGATACCCACCTCTGCTGTGACAAGTTTCTTCAGCTCTGCCAAGCTCTCATTCATAATGTCTAGACTATCAATTTAGGCACAGCTCTGGAAACAGCTGTCCTCTGTGACACCAGTTCTTCTAGCACTTGCCTGTCAACTGTTTAATCCAGAAATTTCAAGATTAATTTCCCTTTTATTACCTCTCTTCAGCAGGCAAAGGATTTGTAACCAATTTGGGCAGATTCAGGGATGTGTTGTGTGAATTTTCTTTGAAATATTCTCAGGCCATGAAGCGTTTTCTGAAACAGAGATTCACATTATGTGAATTAAAATAGTACCAACACTATAGGAGCAGATTGTGAGAGCGCTGGAAAAGTCACGCTGGGGTGTAGAGTACCAGACTAAGAAAAAAAGCTTTTCATGTGTGGTGTCAGGCTGGAGATTTGTCGGTCTATGACTACTGTTTTTCAAGTAGTGTTCACTCTGTAGGGCCCATGCTGTCAAACAAAAAGATCTTAAAAAAAGACATCTGGTTTTGTCACCACCCACTCCTCTTTCCTGGGATTCCTGGACTAGTTTGTTCATGGAAGAGAGGTTGCTTATTTTAGGGGTAGTTTTTTAGAGGTTTGCATCTGTGTACTGCAGTAGGTGCCTTAATAGCAGCTTTTTTAAAAAAACTTCTTTTTTAAAATGAAGAAATGCTGCTCCTCCTCCTAGTTCACCCTTTAGTCCCCATCTGCTCTTTTTGCATTTGTGTGTGTGGTGCCTCCTCCAGCTGGCAGGTTGCATGCAGCCTCATCCAGCATGGTTTGCTTCAAGCCCACAATCATTTAATTCTGCACTTGTACCATTATCCCCCCACCACCTTCTGGTGTCCTCTTTCCTCTCCCAGCTTCACACTTTCTTCTCTGCCACTTCTTGTGCTTGGAGCAGCCTCTGCCAACCTGTATACCATTTACGATTTACGATTACGATTACGACATTTACGATTATCAAAGCGGTGCTTTCAGAAAGCCTTTGCGTGTTTCGAGTGCGTTTCATTTTTAAAGAATAAAAACCTGTATTAACCACTGTAACTCACCAATGAAGAAGAGAGGACCTAGGTACAAGACCATTCCTTTCCTTGCTATGAGAATGATGCAGACATGGCAAGCAGGATCCTGGGCAGAGTCAGATTAAAATAGTCCACATTTCTCGGGGATTAGAGCAGATGTGCTCTAATGTTTGGCAAGACAGCACATAGAAAAGGGACCTTCGGGGTGTGTGTGAGGAAAGGCTGAAAAGCCACCACATCTTGATTGTTTTGGTCACCTGCAATTACAGATTTTCACTTTAGGCTACCTCTGGGTAACAGGGATCATTAACATGGAGCTGGAGGTTTGCCCTGTAGAACAGGAGGGGTGTCCTTCGCAGCTGATACTGAGAGAGATGGATTAATATGCTGCTACAGTGAGAGGTAAAACCCGCAGCTGGTTTGCGTCATGTCTGCATGGGTCTGCTGAGCCACCTTGCTGGCTTTTACTAAATTAAAGGAAGGTAGCATCTGCTCAGCTGTGTCACTTGGCAGTGCCTGCTCAGCTTGACTGAGTCTCTGAGCCTGTTTTCTGCCTCTCTTTGCTAAGGGAGGGAGTCACTCACAGAGTACATCCTGTCTTGTCCCATTGCATAGCAAACTTTATTTCTGGAGAAGTATTGTTGAATTCTGCTGTCCTACCTCTGATGAAAACCTGTATAGACTTGCACATTAACATGAATGGCAGCTGAGGTTTTTTTGTCACATAAGTTTATCTTTTTTTATTATTGAGCTTTATAGGTTAAGCTTTTGGTGTTGAAGATGGTAATTTCATGCTATGTTGTGGGGGTGATACGATAATATAAACCTACTCTCTGCAAATAATCAAAGCTGCCAGGTAGGGCTGTAGTAGTGATGATAATGTGCAATACCGTATTTTGGGTGACAACTTGCTGAAGGGGCTTTGGGGTCTAGAGGGGCTGCACTGTATCTCTTTAGGGAATTCAGTGCTAGTGCTTTGTTCTGAGGTGGGTTTCTGCAGGACGGAGACCTTGCAGGATCTCTGCTGGTGTTGGGATAATAGTTTTCTAAAAGGGTAACTTCCAGTGAAGCCAGGCTGCTGTGGACACCCATGCAAGCAGCTGCCCTTGGAACCATTATGGTGCAGATGATACCTTTGCAAGCTCCCTGTAGGTGCTGTGGGGGACTGAAGATAAAGCATGTCCTTTTCAGTCATGTCCCTTCCCTCTTGCTTCTGCCTTTTTTCTCATAACCTGCAGCTGCTGAAGGGACTGACCTCACCTAATGAGACATGAGCATACAGAAGATTTCTCTGAGGTGAGCCTCTTAACTAACATGGAGCAAGTTAGCAGGTATGAACTGCAAAAGGTAGGCTCTGAGGGACGTAGTAAGAATTCCCACTCCCAAGTCAAACCAGTGCCCACCAATATACTGTCTGGCCATGGATCCTGTAGTGGATATCTAGGGTAGTATATAAGAAAAAAAGCAATACTGTGGTGGTATATTCCTCAGGCTCCAGCTGTCTGCTGAGAGGGACTTGGTAGAGGACACAGATGTTTTGCCATTCTGTTTGGGTTTGATAGTGTTTTCATTTTTCAGAAATGCAGAATAAAATTTTAATCTCATTGTAAAGATTAATAAAGCTTGCTAGAAAATATTTTGGAATATGGTGAAATGATTGTGAGGGTGGTGGGACACTGAACAGGTTGTCCAGAGCAGCTGTGGCTGCCCCCTCCCTGGCAGTGCTCAAGGCCAGATTGGACAGGGCTGTGAGCAACCTGGGCTAGTGGAAGGTGTCCCTGATCATGGCAGGGGGCTTGGAACTGGATGATCTTTAAGGTCCCTTCCAGCCCAAACCACTCTATGATTCTGTGATTATATTTTTTTCAGCATTTTACATTGGCATATGTAAAATCCTGTAAATGTACACATAATGTACTTTTTACCTTGTGTGTGTGACTGACACAAAAGTGTATTCTTGTAGAACTGGATTTTAGTGTTTGACTGAAAGAACATTTAGGTTAACATGTCGGTATTTAAAGCAGTCCTTTGCTTCTAACCTGACTAATTTAACAGGTGATAGTTGGGCTAGGTGATCGTTGTCATTCCCTTCCAGCTGAAATACTCTATTCCAGACAAGTAAAGGTCTCAGTTACCTAATCGAAGATGAAGAGGCTGGCTGAGGCCATGCTGCTGCAGCTGGAGGTACTGCCAGTGCCAGGGAGTATCCACTGCTCTGGGTGCACTCATCCTGCAGTGGTTACCTCCAGCAGCCAGGACATCTCACCCCTAGCATGTAGGTATGCTTGAAGGTTTCATCTTTTCCTGTAGTTCAAGGAAGTGATTCTCCTGTCTTTATCCCAACACATCCCACCTGGACATGCTCAACTTGTTCTGATGTACTAACCTTGTTTGCCACTTGACATAACCCGTTTTCTCTTCTTGTCTATGGACTGTGCCTAAGTCACACAGACAGCTTTAGCCTTTTATGCTTGTTTGGGATCATGCTGAATGGTGAAATTTTGATGCAAAACTTGTTTGTTTGGGTTTTTTTTTTTTAGATTTTTAGATTTATAGATATACCTGGAATGTACAAAAAACCCAAACATCCACCAAAGTGTAAAGTGTGTGGCTTACAATTAATCAAGTATGTGAGCTACAGAGTGCTTTGTCCATTTAACGTTGCATTAGTTAGTACTTTCATACCAGATGTTATCCATTTACCCTTAAGGGACAATTCTGATATGCATCATTGGTCATTTTAGAAGAAATCTTTGTGGTACTGGAAGACTGATGTGAATTACGTAGCTCTTAATTTTATTATGTATGATCTAAAATGTTTATACATTGTGGGTTTTTTTTTAATTGGTACTCACACATGAAAGTGTAACGAGAGAAAAGCATATGCCCAGGTTTTCTCAGAAATCTCAATCAGTTTTACAGAATGCTGACTGCTTAATTGTAAAGCAAAAATAATTAACCTGATGAATTATAGAAGTTAGTCTGGGACTTATGCCTAGCTTAAGAAAGAGCTGAATGCTTGAAACCGAGGGTAGGCTCCTCCAATATTTACGTGGCTAGGTTAAAACACTTGAGGTGCCTTTGAAAAAGTAAATCTGGTGTTAAAAAATGGTTCTAATTATTATGCCAGTACATCTTTGTTGAAAGCTGATAGGATGTAGGCTCCAGAGGGCCTCTCAGATTTGAAAATTCAACAGTCCAAGTCACTTTGGCATTTTTTGAAACTTGTGTCCAGCATCTTCTTTTAAAAATACAGAAAGATTGTCTGTAGGACACCTTTTGTTGTGTTGGTATTTTGTCTGGGGTTGACATCCTTTATAGTCAAAAGATGTAACAAATCTATCTGGGGGAAGTTTTCAAAAGCATGAATGGTTATTAGGCTGCCATGGTCCGGTAATAATCCGAGGGAAATGTCCATGTCTTTGTGTTTTCAGGGAGGCAAAGGGATGCAAGCAACTAGAAAGAAAATGAGAAGTAGGCAAGGAGGTGCATTGTTTTGCTCTCAGAATTACTACTTTAGAATACTAAATTACAGACAGCATACAAATACCCAACAATTTAGTTTCATAAAAGGGAGCATTCTAAACCAGCATAATCCATATAATTACTCAAAAGAGGTTTAAGACAAAAATGTGCATTTAATAACCAGATGATAAAATTGAAAGATATCTTCATGGAAGAAAATCTAGTTGGATCTAAGCCAACTGGGGACCTACTTGTCTCCATTTCTGATATCCACTGATTATCCTTTCTGCAGAAAGTATAGAAGCCTGTATTTGTTGCTGCTATAGGTCAACTTCTCTTACATTATTTTAATACTAACAAAGCAATTAAGCCAGATCAACAGTGTGGCTGTTTCATTAGCATATGCTTGGGCAGGGGCTGTTGTGGGTTCCTCCTGTCAGGGAGGAATTCGTTAGTGGTCAGACTGGTCTGTATATGTGGGTAGTCAAATTCTTCCCTAATACCAGAACTTAACCCAACCAGCTATTGCCCAGCCAGGACAGCTTCATGTGGTGATAGGTCAAAGCGTTCACTGGGCTAACCAGGCAACTCTGGTGCTATGGAGTGGGTAGACAGGATCTTGCCAAAAGACTGGAGGCAACCGACTTCCTGACCCCAGTTTGTAAGCCTCAGAAGTGTGAGAGTTGGAAGAATGATTAGCAGGTGGAGGTGCTCATGGCCTCCCATGGTACCCACCTCCCTGTGCTGGCTTTGATGGCAATCCAGCGGTGCAGGCACTCTTTCTCCTGCAGTCAAGGATTTGGGTGACCTAGAAGGTCCTGTGCAAGGGAACCTCTCTTGAACCCTTCATGAGTGCTCAAAAGGTATAAGCTGACCATCCCTGCAAGTAATGCTTCAGATGGGTATTACTAACACTGTCTAGCTCCTGAGCAGCTGCAAATGTTTGAAAACTGCTTTTTTTGTTGCCCATGGTAAGCCTGGTGTGTGTTTTTCTGCTTTGCTGTCACTGCTCTGTTTCCTGGACTTGATTGCATATCTGGAATCAGCCAGTTTTCTGCAAACTTAAATCTGAAATAGTGGTGAAATAAACACATCCTTACCATTTTGTGTTTGTTTCAAACAAGGGATAAATCTGTTCTCCCTTGGCTTACCTGTCTGGATCGGGGGCCACAGTTCTGTTTCCCATGGGCTGGAGGAAGAGCAGGAGAACAGTTTAATCATATTTAAAAAAATATCTTGTGCTGTTTAAATTGTTTGTGGGGTTTTTATCTTTTTATGGTCTACTCATGAAGCCACAAGTCTGTTGGCCTTTTCTGTATTTTTCTGGAGGTTTCTGTAGTACTGGTTTTGACTGATGAATCCAAGTGCTTGTTGTTTACTGAGAACTGATATCCTTAGGGGAGCCTCAGAAGACCGACTGTTGCTGTTAAACCAGGTATTTGCAAGGTCCGGGTCTAAATTTGAGGAGCGTTAAAAGTCACAGTATCAAAAGCATCTCTGGCAGAAACACAGTCATTTGTCTAGACCAGCCTTCTGGAGTTTTATAGATACAATTTGAAGAAAGTTTTTTATTTTTAACGGGTTGTAGAAGGAAAGTTGGAGATGCTGGTGGTGGCTTGCAATGTTAGATGCTGGAATGATGTGTTGAAGGAAGATGAGATGTCATTGCTGTGAGATATTTCTTTAAGAAGTGGGTCAATAATTTGTCATGCTGCACTGCACTTTAATGTAAGACTATCATCTCCACATCTGTGACATGCTTCTCAGTGTGTTTTCAAATTTAAATGCAAAAAAAGACCCTCAAGACTTTCAGAAATGAATATCAAATCTTGCTTTAGTTTCTTCTCTCACCAGGCCGGCTCCTGGCAGCAAATTGCTGGTTTAGCCATAATGTGGCAGCCTTTACTTGAAGTTTGCAGCATGGGTAGTCACAGTCGTGGAGTGAAGCCGTGTGAGGTCATTGTCTGAGACCCATTTTAACAAGAATGGGATCAAATAAAGGATATGGTCCTTGGTTGAATGAGCTTGGTAGCTTTGGGCCCTACAAAAGGGACCAGCCCAGTATTAGACAATACCTAACAAATGCTGAGTAATATTTTATAACAATAAAGTTACTCGATTGAGATCTTGGTTTCAAGTTTGCATGGCCTTGTCATAGACTGATCATGTTTGCACAAGTCTATGTCAAGTGTATGCACAAGTCTCTGAGTAAGCTGGCGAGAGAATGTAAATATTGCCCTTTCAATTTCTTCTCTTAAGTTGGAGACAATATTCTGAGTTACCTGCTTTGGGACCAGCTTTAGTTTGCTCTGAGCATAATGCTAGCAAAATCTGCAAAGCATTGACAGGTTTCAGTCTGTCAAGTAAAACCAGAAATGAGCATTTACAGAGGAGGGACTCGGCACAGGCTACTCCGTTGGCAGGAATCAGTGTTATTGTTCAACACACTATGAAGCTGTATGGTGTTTTATGTTTTCAAAGTGCTAGGTAAACATCAATTCATTAATCTTTACAACCCTGCTGACAGATACCTGAATATTGTCATTACACGTTTTCAGCGATATAATCGACCTGCAGGAACATTACATGTCGTTTCAAAGCTGTACAGCAACGTGTACAGCAGAACTGAAGTTGGACATCCCTGCTGCCAAGCTCCCATGTACTAGATGAAGAAGTCCAGATACAGTGAGTAGTGAAAACAGACTTTTTCATCTTTTTTATTTCTGACTGTCTTTCAGGCATACGCAGAGACTCTTTGTAGACTTCAGTGAAAAGTATGTTAACATATTTCAGAGTAGCATTTGGACCATTTAGGTTTTGCAAGCATAATTTATTTTTGCATACCATTGTTTTCAACATTTATGTACTTATTCCTTGGGACTGGTTTTTACAGGCTTATCCTCTTGCTTCTTGTACATTTTCTCCACTCACTTTGATTCTTTTATCTTTTTAACTGCAAGGGAGGAACATACCTGAGCTGGTGAAGGACAGTGTACAGCTTGGCCCATCTGCACTTGCTTCCGTATATGCAGCATAAGCTAGTGCTAATCAGAGTGTGAACAGGCTGAAAAGTTTTATTTCAGAATAAATCACTGTGGACAGAATCTGCTGAGCTTGTGAGATACCAGGGTTGTAAATAGTGACCAGCCATGCTTTCAACTGGTTTCAGCAGAGTCGTGACAGTGCCATTAGCAGTGCAGTTGGTACAAACCCCAAATTGCTGGCTGCAGCAAGGGAGGAGAAGGCACAGTCAGTGCTGCCGTGATTGCAGTTGGCTGAAGAAACTCTGTGGTTTTTGACCAAGGAATATGAGGTATGGCCACAGGGTTATTATACATACATCACTGGAGGGCAGAGGAGGAAAGAAAGAATTAGAGAAGTTGGCCCTTTCTAGACTATTCTATCTCAGAATTGCTTTTCTCAAAACTTCCTCTCAGAATTGCTGGTGTGTCCACTGATCTATGGCTTGCAATTGAACTCCTTATGGAAAAACTTGTACATCACAAAAAATGGCAATTGTTGTTGGCACTCTCCTTGATAATGCTAGGTGGCCAGGAGGAGGAATAAGTAACCCTCACAGTCTGCAAGGTCCCTCTAGGGAGTTTTGTCATAGGGGTAATCTGGGAGAAGTTTTATACAGTTCCTGCCTGTATTTTGCTTCTGGCTGAAGCATAGGTACTCTGTCTCCTTCACCCTTTTTGTCAGTAAATACTGATAATAAAACGTGCAGCTGATAGGGAAGAGACTAAGGGAAGAATCGTCAATGCCAGCTGAGTTTTACAAGTAGCACAAGAGCCTGCATAATTTCTTGATTGTACTTCATTTTGGAATCTCCTGTGGTTGAGATAGCTAGCCTGGCAGTCCTGAGAGGACAGATCCAGAAAAGGCTTCCCAGTAGCCTACCAAAGACAGTTCTTTTCCAGTGTAACTCTTGGTTTGGAACTTGGTAATTGCACATTTTCACAGAAAATACAAGGCCACTTGGGATGCCTTTGTTATGTCAGAGTTGATTACGTTTGTGATTTTTTTATATGGCCTTTGGAAGGGTATTTTGAATTGAGTTCTGTGTAGTATTTATAACATTAATACATGTATTGAGTATCGTTATACTTAATCAGTTGTCATGATTAACCATCACTGAGTTACCTTGCTTTTGTACAGTGGGATTTCTGGTCCTACTTCTTCCAAACATCACCTTCATGCTTGTTCTTGCAGCAGGGAACATACAGTAAGCAGTCCAGCAAATTACTCTCTAACCTGTGCTCCTGAGGAGGGATTGTACGGGTATATGGAGACAAAGTCATGGATTCCTCTATTTCTATCTCATTTTTAGTGCCTGTCTCTCTATGTGACAGAACATTTTGTTAGACAGAAGTTACTTTTGTCTCATTTTTCCCCTGGGTTTAACATGATCTCTTTGGGAACTGACTTTCTTTACTTGTTTCTGTTATACTGTTCTTTAGATAAATTTACTGTAGTACTTTCAAAACTTTCTTTTTTCTTCAAAACTTTCATTCCTCTCAATACATTCTGTATCTTTGTAGTTTACATTTCCCTTCTTGTTATTCAGTTTAATCCATAAGGTTGTAGCTTTAACTCATACAGTTTTGGGTGTTTATTTTCCTCTGGGAGGACAGAAGAAGTTCGGGTTACAGATGATCAGCCGTATGAGTTCTCCACCTGATACCAGGCTCTTATCAGACTTTGAATTTCTTGAGATCCACAGAAACAAAGACGTCCCTCTATCTCCCCAGTGAAACAGAAGCAAATGCATTTCTAAACGTCAAGGTCTATTGCACAGTAAAAAACTTGGCATTCCCACTAGGTCTCACAAATATTTCTGTACATACCTAACTTTATTCTGGGAGTGGGCTGGCGAGCTGGCTGCGATGGGATGGGGTGGGGTGGGGTGGACAGATTCTGCTTGGCAGCTCGCCCAGGCTGGCGGTGTGGGGATGGGAGCCGCGGCCGCTGTCTCGCCATCTTTCTCGGGGACTGTTGGTGCGAGATGCAGATGACTCATTGAGGAAAAAGAGGAGCATCACGCATCTGAGCCTGTTCCTCGCGAACGCGTGGTCCTGAGGCGAAAGTGAAAAATAAACAGAAGATAAACAAAGCTTTTCCTCCCTCCGCCTTTCCACGCCTGTTCTCAGACACAACCTGATAGTGTGACCTGTTGTATTTTACCGCGTGCGTGTTGATTTCCAGGGACCTTTTCGTCTCACTAATCCTGTACCCAGTGAGTGGTGGCAGCAGAGACGGCGTCCCTCTCCCTGCCGTGCTTCTCCCGGGGCGGGGAGAGGTCGGTGCCCGCTCCTTTCCGCCTGGAGCCTGTGTTTACTGTCCTTATCTGCCAGATTAGTTACGTCTTAAGATCATGAGCCGTGCTTTCAAACCCGGTGCGGGCTGCCTCTGCTTTGCCGTCAGCCTGGCCGCTGCCTTCCAGCGCCCGGTAAGCTGCCGTCGGCGGGCTTCGGGGCAGGGCCCGGGCAGGACGTTGGGCCGTACC